GCTCCCTGAATAATTTTCCCTCTTTTCCAACATATGAGTGAAGTGCTAAGTAGTTTACAACACAATACATGACAGAAGGCAAGCAGAGTTTCCTCCTGAAAAATCCCTGGCAAATTTGCAGGGCTGTTTATCCCACTGGTTAATTTATTAAGACCAAATTGTGTAAAAGACATATCAAACAGTAGAAGAGGCCAGGTCAGACAACGCCCTCAAAAGCTGTAATCACAAATAACAGCATGAAAAGACTGCAGCTAAATGTAATTAAACTCTAAAGTGATGGGGTTTAAAGGCTTGCAACAGGAGCTCCAGATGCACCTCAGAAACCAGTAATGTTCATCTGCTACTCTCACAGAAACCACAACTGCAATTTAACAAAGATAAGTCATGCATTTGGGCATGAATCCATCTTTCTTAATACCTTCTTGTCAATTCAGTTTATAATCAGTGACAGAATTAATCTCCTAATTACAAAAGTCACTATGTAGTAACAATAGTTACAACCAAAGCAAAAGTAAAGACGGACAAGCTTTGGCTCAGAAGCAACTCGTGTCCAAAATTTCTCCCCTACTTGTATCAGCTAGTTAAAAAAGATACTGCTTCTTACTCATAACCACATATCCCTACAATGCAGTATTGCTGCTGCTAGGAACAGCCACAAGCTTTGAACTGAACCTGTGAGGTCTCAGGGCTGAGGCTGGCCATGCTTGCTCTGGCTGAACTTCCCTTGCCCTGCCTGCTGCTTGGTTTTACTTGGTTTAGCTGTGACAGCAATTTCTCTAACAGACCAGGTGTCTGTGGCCAATTGGTTTTACTTTTGCTATCTTTGTATGGGACAACCACTGACAGCAGTTAGTCCACGTAGAATGAGATATTTACAACTCTAATACAGTAACATGGAGTAAAGAAATACAGGCCTGCTGAGGATAGCAAAGGCTTTGAGAAATGGAGACCCAGGATGCAACACGGAGGAGGACAGGCATGGGATCACACGAGATGAGGCACGTGATTGGCACTGGAGACCACACAGCTATGAGCAACTTCCCAGAGGCCTGTTAAAGAAATGGATAATTGGACCTGGACAGAATCGGCTTTAAGGGTAGCAAACCAAACAAAGAAACTGTATCTTACATACATAAAAGGCACCACATAAGGTAATTTGGATGTAGTATGAAGCTGCAGACTAGCGAAGAAAGAGCAAAGGTATAAAAGTGTGTTATCAAACACATAAAAATGACCTCAAATGGACTCTAGGGTAAAGAAAAAAGAAACCATCAACATGAACACCATATTGCTCCTAGCCAAAGACTCCAGATACTGGAAAGACACAGTAATAGCACCCCCCACCAGACCCCAAGCTCTGCTGCCAGGCTGCAGACCCCAAGGGGCAGCACCACCAGCAGAATCGCAGGAAACCAGGAGGAACAAGTGAGTGCGTATAACAGTCTCAATGGCAGTATTATTGTTCCTTTTTTCTTTAACAACTAAATCGGGACTAACAATAATCACAGTCTTAAGATTTCAGTTATACGAAGAAAAAATTCTCGCCTTTATATACACAACCTATGTTTCTCTTTTGCCCATAAACAAGATGTGAGTGCAACACCCTGCTGCCTTGCTGCTCAATGGCTCTTAAACCATTATTGCTATAGCACCATCAGTGCAACACTACTATTTCAGAAAGAGTAAATCATAAATGTGTCAGGTCAGGGACTGTGAACTGTGCAACAACATGTTAACACAGAAGCACTTCAGCCTTCTTTATCTCAAAGTTTATTGTCCTTTAAACATAAGTTCAACGAGTTAAGTATAGAACATAACAATTCCTGTATTATTCTGAGAACTTACTCAGAGCAGGGGTGGTTTTGAACACCGAAATCAGAGTTTCCACCTTTTTCAAGTTGGAAAGGTTTGTATTAATATTTGATCTTCGTTTCTCTTTACAGTCAACCAAGGAAGTGAATGAGAAAGCTGATGCAGATAAGTACGAGCTGCACAGAGTCAAAATGTGCTCCCACTATTGCATCCCTCAGTCTTAATGCTGGGGATTCACGGCTAGTCAGTCACTGCAACTGAATATTACTTCATATTAAATCCACCATCCACCATCTTTTGGTACAGATCTCATGGTATGGGATTAGGACTGCCCATTTTCCCGTGTTTCCTCTCTCCTTCTAAGTTTAAGCAATTGAGACCTTGTAGTTACTGCTTGTCTCCTGCAGCTATGACTTCATTTCACTTTCTTCTCTTCCTGCTTTACTTTGGCACCAACACTATATAATGCTTTTCACCCTCCAACAGCCATCTGAGGAATCCATAAGCAGTCTGAGGATAATTCTTGTCACAAGTATCATCATAGAAAGGGCAACTGAAATCCAAGTACATAAATACATGACAAGAACCTGACACATTTACAGGTTAAATACAAACATGACAGTGCAAGAAAAACAATTATAAACCAATATACACATGAAGAAGAGACAAGCATAGATTAAGCAAAGTAAGGTCACAAGTTAAACCTTTGAAGCCTAGTGTCTTCACTACAAGACTGTCCGTTGCTGCAGAAAATCAGTATGGACTTGAAAACTGAAGGCTGCAGGGCAAGATAACAGCACCTGACAGTGTGGATCTACAATGCCGTACCTCACCCATCTGTTTATCATGAGCTCAGATTAACACTGGGAGCATGAAAGCAAACTCACTTCATGGAAACTTCATGGTCACCTTTGTAAGTAAAAATTTTCACATTTTGAAAAAACCCACAAAATAACTGGTGATGTGTCAAGACATAAAATCAAGCAAAAAGGCCAACAATATTTTTTTCTGACGGATCATGATCATTTACAAGAGGATACTGCAATTTTGAAGCTGGCTACATAGTCCTCCTCTATGTAAAATGATTGTCAAGAGAGATGGAATAAAACCGGAGAAGCCACAAATGGTATTTGAGCTCTTTCAGAAAATTATGACAAGCTTCAAACATTAGCAAACAATGCAAATATATAACAAGATATACACAAAAAAAAATTTATAACAGAAATACTTAATCTTCTTAGCTATAGCAACAAACCCAAGACTAATTATGAATATTGGCAATTCCTAGACTTAAGTAGTTGTTACCATACCCTAACAATGTACTAGAAAACCTAAAAATCTCCCCTGAACACAAACGTAAGCACACACACACAAAGTGCAGGTGTCCCCCTTCGAGGCGGTAAGAACTTCCCCTTGTAAAGCAGAAGAAGCTTGGGTCCCTCTGCTGTTAGCAGGCTCGCTCAGTCCTGCAGCTACACCTCAGAGCCTGCATCAGTGCAGGCCTCCAGGGGCAAGTGCCAGTCAGGAGCCCACAGAATCGCTCCTCTTTACAATCCCAGGTTTATACACTTCAACTTAATAACAGAGTGCATCCTGCCACAACATAGAGTTTATGGGCACATTTTGGCTTACCGCAAGACAGAAAACATGTGATAGATAAAGTTATCACAGCACAAAATAAACTTAGAGAAGCAGCTTATGTATTTACAAGGAAATTTCAAAGTCTGAACAAGTCTTTTCTCTTGGGACCGCTCTGCAGAAAAGCTTTCATTAAAGATAAAAATGAGATGCACAGTACCTTTAACAGAGAGAGCTTAGAAGAGATTTATTCATCTCATATCAGGGTTCTGCTGTTCTGAAAGACCTCTTAAAAGAGCACTTAAATTAAACACTTCCCACCAATATTTACCAAAACCCTTTCACTCCACCCACTCAAGTTTAAGCTTTTTTCTGTTTGTGAAGTTTTACTACCTGATTGCTTAAGCCGACATGGTAAGTACGCTGGAAATCACGGTTACAAGATACCACAGATCAGCTTTCTATTCTAAGTATCACTGTACCAAACCGCACATTTTTATGAGGAGGGGTGCCAGAACCCTGAAGAAAAAGGACATCAAGTGAAACTTGCAAGAAAAGGGAGGGTACTGAGACTGGCAGAAAAGAGTAGACCAGCCACGAAAAGGAGGGCATGGCAGAGGACCATCCCCTTTTTCAACAGGTCAGACTGCACAGACGATGTGATTTTCTAGATCCACATTTTCCTGGGGAGATGCCACAGCAATTGGAAACACAGCTGCACTAGCTACATTTGCTGCTTGACACAGAGTCTGAGAAGTAGGCCCGTCTAAATATTCCATGCCACAATCACAGGCTTTCACCAAGGTTAAAGAAATCAGTGCAAAACCAAAATACCTTCCCCTCAAAGCTACTATTCAAACCCAGGTAATTTATTTTACATACTTATTTTTCAATTTTTTCTACTTTGTAAACTATATACTTACTGAATAGACATGCCAGACTTAACAACTCTGTATCATTTGCTACATGAAACTTAAAAACAATGTAGGAATTTGTTAAGCATCGTTTAACAAGAAAAAGATCTGAAAGAATTTTTTTTTTTCTTAGCTACCACAAACTTGGAAAATTTGCAAAATTTGTACTACATTTTATTCTTGAAAGTAACATCTAACAGAGATTAAAGTGGCTGGAGAGACTGCAGATGACAGGACTGCGCAAATGCTCATATATACTGTGCTTTTTTTTCACTTAACAGAAGCAATGAGGAATTTTTAAAGCCATTTTAGGGACACTTAAGTATCTTTAGACTTACTAGAAAACAAGTATTCAATACTAAGACATCCAGATCTTGAAAAGGTTCTTTACTCTCAGTTTTAGGTAACTATTTTACAAAACAAGAACAAGTTTTTCACATCACAAAACAATAAGAAGGCCAACAGAAACTAGTTATATATACCCACTAAGGTTTGATTTTATATAGAAAAAAATGATTTGGTTTAATCAGAAAAACTACATGTAGGAAGACGTCATAAATACTTGTTTGCAGGATACTTGACTCCAGACAGTATGATGTTAAATGAGTATTAAAAGACAGCATCAAAAAAAGGTCAGAATGATTTGTAAGAGCAAGCCAAACTTTACAAAGTGCATAATTAATTTTAAACACCTACTTGCTTCTGTAGCCACCGTTCTCGCCTTCTTTGTTTTCTCCTCAAGCTTTTCAACTTGTTTCTTTCTCTCTTATTCAGCTTTTGGTTGAAGGAAATACTCATAGGCTGCACAAGACCAACAGGTGTGATGTATTGTTCCTCTTCTACAGAACTTGTAGGTGAAGAAAGGTTCATCACAAAAGGTGACACATCAGCAATGGCACTCCCAGAAGGTTGTCCAGTAGCTTCAAAATCACACTCACTTTCTGTTTCTCTATGTAGTAATGTGGTAAAGGAAGTAACTTGAAACTTTTTTTGTAGTTTGTCAGCACTGGAACTATATATGTCCTCAAAAGAACTACTATCTTTCCTATTGGATTCTAACTGCAAGCCACTTGGTGTGTAAACAGGTCGATTTTCATTTTGGCCATGGTAAATTGTTCCTGTACTGCAAGTTTCGTATAACACAGGTGAAAAAACAAGTCTCTCTCTGATATTTAAATCCACACTACGTGATCTTCTGTGAAAAGGTTTTACAGTGGATGCATCATTCATAGGATAGGAAGCAGAAAGATTTCTTTTTTGATTTAATACCTTTAAGGGAAGTTTTTTACTTTTCATCTCAAATCTGGGAGTTCTTACTTCTAGACAAAGCGCTTCTGTTAATCTTCCAGTGCCACTATTATTATTTCTGGATGTGTATGAAAGCCCTTGATTTTTGATTTCCAAAGTTGCAGTTACCACTTCATGGCAGATATCCTTGCTAAAACCAGACTGAATTTTGAGGAGAGGTAAGTGTTTTCCTGACAATTTTGCCCATTTAACAGAGAAAGCTGGCTGATAGTCAGTCCGACTTTTGCAGAAATGTATATTTATTACCTGTCCACAGGAACATTTTGTGTTGCAAACAAAGTTAAAGCCCCCTAAGCAGGCCTCACAGAACGGACAGTGCAGCTTTCCAATTGTCCACTGTGCCTATTGACAAGAAAAAAAAACCACAACACATTCATTGTAAATAAATAATAAAATCATTACTAGAGTTACCTTCCTCCTTTTAATAATGGGGTTTACTTTTTGTTTTTCAAACACAACAAAAAAGACTTCTCAGAAGAAAGAAAATCCACCATAAATAATGCTCTGGTCAAAACTGCTTGCTGCAGTGACAACTAACTCTTAAGAAATCTAGAACACACATTTCAAATTGTACGGGCTTTAAAATATGTTTAAAATTTGTCCATAGATAGAACAACGCTGCAATACTAATGAAAACATTAGAACTTTCAAAACAGTGAAATCAATTTACCATGCTAATCTGGAATTGGCAAGCACAGTTTCTCAGCTGAGTCTTCTGAGTGCTGATACATTTCTTGCATACTAAGTACAGTGGAAGGAGATTTCTTACAAACAGAATACAGCTTTTCACTTTGCTTATTACCCCATGAAAGCTTAAAATGGTACTTGTATTTTGGTGTATATAGTATTAAAATGTAATCTGTGTGCAGACACCATGACAAATACTCTATAAGAGGACAGTTATTTTCATTATTTGTAATACTATGAATTTAATTGCAATCTGAAAGGCACTTTTTCAAACGAAAATACATATCAAAGATAGATAAACTCCTACATATTTGCACAACTATTAGTATTTTCAGTAAATATATTCATCTGTCAGCAGAAACATTTTTAAGGATTAAAGTTATGCAAGTGTTTGTAGCATCAAAGCCCAGATGAGAAATAACATTATCAACTCCAGTCACACATTACTCACTACTGTGCCTAAGAAGGCTTGAGCCATGAATACAGAAGCTGCTCAACATTTCTAGTTAAAGCACTGCTTTCAGTTGCAAATGTCTTTCAAGGTAGTTTGGGAAGACGATTCCATGACATGCTTGTCTGATTGAAAGCTTCAGAAAGTTTTAGTATAACCAATTTTGCAGTTTCAGAAAAAAAACCTTGTGCGGGAAAAAGGTTATTTTCATATCCAATGCTAGAAAAGGTTCTGGAAACACTTTGAGAAACTTACTCAAAGTTGTGGGGTAAAACCTCAAAATTTCACAAAGTATCAAAGATGTGCCTTTCATTGCACCTATGAGAAACTGTATAAATCTGGACAAGTTTTTACCTTAGAGAAAAAAAACACCTTAAGGCTTTAAAATCCCTGAAAATTCCTTGAACAGGCACAGTCTCTCTCAGTTTATAAGGCTGACCAATGTGTGCATATGGCATTTTCAAAGAAAAACTCAGATGGTTCAGAGACTTACTATAAGTCTCTCACACACCATTTCCCAGATGCCACCGGCTAGGCACTAAAATTAAGGGAAAAGCACTTTCCATTGCCTTTAGTGAGTCTTTCTGACACTCAGGCACTATGGAATAGTAGCCTCGTAAAAATGAGAATAAAAGAGATGGCAGGGGAGAAAAAGGACATCTCTATGACTATGTGCACAGAGACTGGGAAATGAGGCGCAGTACAAGGGTGCCTGGGACTGATTTAGCCATGAATTTGGCAACAGAACTGTGGAAGCATTGACTCAGTAAAAGAAGTAACAGCCCAGTAGTGGAGGAGGTGGTAGGGGGAAAAGATCATCAAAATCTGGAAAGAAGCTGAGGGTACACAGATTTAATGAAGGACTGCATAAAGAGGAAAAACTGGGAGGGGTTAGCCAAAGAAGCTAAAACAAGTGATGAGTGATGCAGAAAAGAAAATGCAGGCCAATAAATGTCACTAGCAGCACTAGCTAGCTATTTATAATTATTGAAGATTATCTATACTCTAATGTGTGCATGAAACCCAATGAGATTGGTTAAGAACAGGGACAGATGGCAAAAAAGAACTGGCTGGGAAGCAGTGGGTTTTTATAGCCTGCAAATAGACTTTTTGCTTATGTAAAATGATTTAGCCTTTGGTTCAGGAGTCATACAGAAGAAAATAACACATGATCACAAAATTATTCACAGCCCAGGAGGATGTGGGGATAAGCCAAAATTGTTTAAAAAATGCCACACATTTATCTGTAAGCCCACAGGCTCTTTCCAGAGAAGTCAGAAGTGGATGAGGCAAGATTTCATAGAATCATAGAACAGTTTTGGTTGGAAGAGATTTTCAAGATCATTGAGTCCAACCTTTGTCCTAGCTTTATCAACACCACTAAACCATGTCCCTAAGTACAACATCTACCCGTCTCTTAAACACCTCCAGGGATGGTGACTCCACCACCTCCCTGGGCAGGCTGTTCCAATGCCTGACAGTCCTTTCAGTAAAGAAATTCTTCCTAATATCCAGCCTGAACCACCCCTGGTGCAGGTTAAGGCCATTTCCCCTTGTCCTATCACTTGTTACTAGGCAGAACAGACCGACCCCCACCTCCTACAACCTCCTTTCAGGCAGCTGTAGAGA